CACCGGGAGTGTTACTGCTGTGGTACCACTTATCGGCCCCTCACCATCTGCCTGAAGTTCCACCCCCCCCACTGCTATTCCAAACAACGGGTTTTTCTGGACCATTCCAATTTGCCTCATAACTATAGGGGTGCATCTGCAATATTACATTGACCACGAAAGCAGCAACGGCAAAAATACACATTCGTGCATCAACACGGGCATGCCCGCAGACGGCGTATAAAATTGCATGCCGATTACACAAAGAGAACCCAGTGTTTTGACTGCGAACACGAAAAAACGACTCTTCACAACACTCCGTCCGGAGGTCCTGACCTCCTTCACGGAGTAATAACATGCTGTATACTATTATTACTAACCTCATCTTGGGCTCTTGTTGTCTTACATAATATCATAGAGGAGAGAAAAACACTCTGAAAACTTACAAGTTTTGTGGCCATATTTTCTTTAATCAGTGAACATAAGCAAACCACTGAACAACTTACATACTATTAGATAAAAAGAAACCAAATTTCTTTATGTACAATAACACTGGTATGAAATGGTGGTGACCAACATTGAAGTGTTGTTGTCATTAGTTCACATTTACTTTACAGCTATTTTTACATAGCATCAACAAAGTTAATATTATACTGAAATTATATACACCATACCATATAACCCCTTGGATCAAAAAGCCAACAAATCATAGAATTTTTAATACTCAAAATGTAAGAACTTTGAAGCCAGCTGAATTTTTTTGAGAAAACATATCCCATGTTTACTTATTTGAGTTAAAATGTACCATTTTTTATGTTTCTTTTTGTTACTTTCTTTGTTGATTTGGCCATACTATACAAAAGTAAATGTACACCAAAGTTTTGACACATTCCCCTAGTTGACCAATAATCATATTCAAAAAGAAAGTCAACCTTTTCAAAGATACAATATACTTCTGTACATACAAATACCTATATATATATATATACATTTACCAACATAGTGTCATAACAATGGTCTTCAGTTCACTTGTTTTCCAACAATATAGCAATTTCTCCTTAGGCCACACCAAGTAAATTTTATGGATGACGTCCGAGCGCGCATTGATTTTGGCCTGTTCCTAGAAAAAAAAACAAGAAATTCCGCTTCCTGTAACTATGACCAAAGAGTCACGACAGTGCCGCAAATTGCCAGATTGACGTGAAACACGTAACGCGAAAACAGGACAGGACAACAACTGCTGTTCCACCTGTTTTGATGATGAATAAAAGACTTCTTGCTTCTTACACTGTGTTACCTCATTCAATTTGTGTCCTAACATTTGTTGTCTCCTAGTATATTTCTAATCTAGGCATCTTGTTTTTTAGGGCCCTTCTTGTTTTTTTTTGCCCTCTCGCATTAGATTTAGGGTCTCCAAAGGACGTCATCCATAAAAATTACTTGCTGTGGCCTTACTAAAAAGTGGCACAAATAGAAGTGTATACAACAGTCACAGTATATGCAATAGACATGTAACAGTCAATGTTCTTGAGTGTAATTCACCAAGTCATCACTAGGTGGCACTATTTCAGCATCATCCACTTTTCCAATGGCATCCTTCCAACACTTGACAACTTAGCTTGAAAGTTCATCTGTGTTAGTAGAAGTCATTCTGTAACAGGTTTGAACTGTAACATTAAACATAAAAAAATTGTAAAAATTGCAAAAAAAGAAGACAAAAAATTTGTACAATTTTTTGTGTGTGCTGGAAATGACAGTTTAAACTTGTTGCAGAATCATGTGTCAACTGTTGCAGTTCTTCCTGAGCTTGCTAGGTGGGGCTATTTCCCTCGTAGCAGCGCTGTTCTGGCGCTGACGAGGATCTTGAAGGCCTCCTCGCTGCCTGGTGCCACGTTCTTGTCCGGATGAAGCAACACGGCCAGTCTTCTATAGGCTTTGTTGATCTCATCCCTGGAAAAATAAATAAGTAGAAATTTAGATACATTTTGGTGACATGCAATGAATCACAACCAACACATGTGAAAACAACATCAAATATTTGACAATAAATAAATAACAAAGAAGAGTTGCTTCTGAGAATAGTTGTGCACCAAGTGTTGTAAGTGTCATTGTTAATGTCAAATGGCAGTATACTGTAAAAGGATGGTTACATATCAAGTCATTCATGGACAATCGTACAGCAGACAGTGTAGGAAGGACGTGACGGGGGCCGCCATAGTCTACCAGATACCTTTGACCCAGTGTTGACGTCACACTTCAAAGAAGTCACATAACAAGCCTCACTGGGTCAGTCTACTGAGGAAGACCAGAGTGACTGGTCGAGAGCTTTTTGTGTTGAAACAAAAGTTTTAACTTTAAACAAAGATTTTATTATTTTTCTGACACTGATGCCAAGAATATCCTGTATACTATTATACAGCTAATATGTACAAAACTATCTACAAATATATTTCGGTGCACCAGTGCACCCACAGAAAAAAATTGGGTGCACCACACTCCAATTATGGGTGCACTAAGGTGCACATGCACCCAGTATTTCGAGGCCTAAAACACTACAAACACAGATGAAATTTCACGATAGGAAGGAACTGACTTAGAAGACCCAGGGTAGAGTCCTAGTCTCTCCCAGTCAGACTTGCTGTTCTTAAGTCTCTGGATGGCCTCGGCTTGTTCCTTAGTGTACCCCAGACTGGTGCTGATGGAGGGAGGCTTCCCGCCATTCTCACAGGCTTCAACTATCGTAGAGAATAACGTCTGAAGAGGAATATGGGGTAAAGGTCTAGTTAGCCATCAAAGTGTTTAGAGATGTACACAATATTGCATTGTGATATTGACTATAATAGAAATAGAGCAGCTGCCTTCAATAAAGTTTTATACACACATCCATCCATAATTTTATGAGTTTTAGAATTTCTACTTCATCAAAAACAGTTAAGAAATGGAGATCTCATACCACTGTGTGAAAGTTTTTGTGAATTTTTAGTTTTATTCATTATAGTAAATTTCTCGCTGATTTCCATCTAAGCATTTTCCCACTGTCTCCCATAAAGCAACAAACATGCATACAACAGGAAATTGAAGACAGGAAATGCGATAACCTTTTCTTGGACCTTTGATCTAATGCAGTGTTCCTGACATACATGTACCTAGCATATGGAAACAACTACAGAAACACAAGCAAACACACTGAAAACAAACCCTCTGTACATGGAGGTAAAAAAAAATGCCAGTGAAAACACATCCTCCTTGGCAAAATGAAGACAGAAGACACTAAGAGGGGCCCGCATGTCCATTTCCATAGAGCGTAATTGACTGTTTTAATTCTACGTAGAGCATAGATAGACCGCTCTAATTCAACGTAGAGCGTAATTGGCGCATTTTGCATAGAGCGTAATTTGCCGTTTTAATTCCACGTAATGCGTTGTAGTTACCTGGAATTTATCGTAAAACGTAAGGGGGCGGCTTGTTGAATTCACCACATTATACGTAACCGGCCCTCAAAATTTAGCATAGAGCATTGTCGGGACCCCCCATGCAGGCCCTCACTAAGACCTCACCTGAAACATTTCATTGATGCCCTCTCCTGTCTGTGCCGATGTCTCAAAGTAGTAACAGCCGTGCGTGTCTGCCCATATCCTCCCCTCAGCCTCATCTACTGTTCTCTTCTGTCTGTCAGTCTAAAGGGAAGAGAACAACAGTGTAAGGCCTAGAAGAAAATTAGGGTCAGTAGGTAGGGATTTTCTTGTTTTTTTTCTTTGTGCAATCACTACAGTGAGGATCTAGTCCACAGGTAGTAGTCTTTGTGTTCAATTCTCATGTTATTTCCCAAATGCTGAGAGCTACAATGTAAGCAGAGAAAGCAGCACTACTGGTACTACATATTGCTTCGGATCCATACATACACATTTACCTCTGGGTATATGTATGGAGGTACATGTATTGTTTGGGGTATGTTTGTGGGTTTGTGTGTATGCTTGTCCAGTAGATCTAGAGATGGTTGCAGGGAAAGCAGTGGATTACTTAGCATGTTCAAGTCAGGAGTACATGGGTAGTACATGGAGGAATCCAGGAAGTAATTGACTATTCCACATTCACTGTAAATATGTTTAGGTACACAGCTCAAGCCCGTAGCCAGGGGGAGGTTCGGACAAACCCCCCCACAAGGCTCAAAGGTCCACTTTTTGGTCCACTTTTTATCTAAAGGTCCAAGATTTTTCTTTAAATATCGACTGATTCGTATCACCAGCAGGGCAGGAATTGTAGAAAAACTCACTCTATCATTGAATAAAAAGTTATCTCTAATTTTTTCTTTGGAAATGCCATTTCAAAAGGTTCATTTTTCCAGATCCCCCTAGGAACCTCGCAGGTGCTCGCTGGTCCCCTCAAGCAGTGGGAAGCAGCAGGCATGCAGCTCTACTGTTAAGAGCTCCAAACCAAACAGTTGTGATCCACAGAGTCTGACACTGTCTCACCTTGTTGGCGCAGACACAGAACACCACATTCTCGATCTCAGCAGGGTTGCCAATCTCTCTCTTCATCTCGTTTAACCAGGTGTCCAGCGCCTCGAAACTCTCCTTACTGGAGCAGTCGTACACCAGGATGGCTCCCTGGGTGTCCTTATAGAACTCATTTCTCACCTGGGGAAAATGAAAATTAACAGGGCTCGAAATTATGTGTGGGGTCATGTGGCGCAGCGTTAGAGCGTTCGACTCGGGACCTAGAGGTCCAGGGTTCGATCCCCACCCATGTCACTTATCTTGTGCCCTTGGGAAAGGCACTTTACACAAATTTCCTCACTTCACTCAGGTGTAAATGAGTACCTAGCTTCGGTTAGGGATGTCCCTCAGATAGGTCCCGTGTTTGAGGAGAGCCACACCTCGAGTACATTTAAGATCACACTACACCTTTCGAAAAAGAGTAGGGGCATGCCCCGGTGTGCGATGGTCCAAATTCTACAGCCCAATACAGTGTAGCAGAATCATCAGCAAGTTGATGTTGGCTACCTTAACCCCAAAGACAAGACAAATTAACGGTGTCCCGATGGCCAGTGACCACTAAAATTTAAGCTGGAACAACTGAAAATACAATTTGGGACATATTTGGGACAATAGAAAAATAATATCAGAATGTCAGCCCTTCTTTTGTTTGGCTCCGGAAATAGCTCCCCAAAATTTCCCGTTAACTCTGCAATTAAAGAAAACAAAATAGAGCTGACTTCAAGTTCACTTCCTGAAAAACAGGTTGGGACAGTTCATCCTTACTTCAGGACAATTGAAATTTACTTTCGGGACAGTGCTGGGACAATAGGAAAAAAATTTAATTTCGAGGCCTGATTGTACTTGTCACACCTGTGTAAAGCCCCTGTCACACATAGACAAATGTTGTCTCCTAAACACTGCCAAACTACCTCAAACATGGTTAGGAGTAGGTTATATCTTAGAGCCCCGGCAAAGATGAAGATGAAGATAATCTTTACCTCATAAAATATTGGATGTCCTGCCATGTCGAATATGTTGACCTTGACATCTCTGTCCTTGATTTTGACCCTGGAAAAAAAAGAACAGCATAAGTTACACATTTGTATCATGTTTGTTTGCAGAACAGGTAAGGTTTCCATGCAATTAGAAGCTGAAACGTGAAGAAATGCACCATGAAATATCAAGTAAAATTGCAGTACTTTACTATATAAAGACTGGAAAGAGGACCGAATTTCAAATTATACAGAGATTTCTTTATGCCAACTTTCCTACCACAGACACTTACTTTGTTACTCCATAGTCGATCCCGATTGTAGCCAGGTACTTGTGCACAAACCGTTTCTCACAATATCTCTTGATGATGCAACTCTGAAAAACACAATTTCATACCTTTTAGACTGTAAGCCATGAAAAAAGAAGAAGAAAAAAAAACAACACAGGAATACAAAGCTGGAATTGTGAATTTACAGCAGTACATAGCGACGTATACGACAAGCCGGCACATGCTGGCTTTTTGTGAAATAAATTTATGAAATGGCACTGTACGTATGTATCGAATTCTTGAGTCGTGGAGCTTCGGTAGCCTGGGTGCCATCCTCCAGAGTTACAACCGGCACCGTATTATCACTAGCTACCATGGACTACCCAGGCCTAGAGCCAGGCCAGAGCCTCGAAAGCAATGTGCGCATGGATGTTATCCATAAAATTAAGACAGTGTGGCCACAGACCTTAAAGAAACATTGTTATGGAGGCTTTCTTTTAAAAAACGTAGAATGTCTTGGGTATCTGATGTCTGCATACCTCAGGCATTACTGATGCTGCATTATATATTAGATCTCTTTAAATTCAATGTTTATTTTAATGTGGTTGTCTTATGTTACCTGCTGGAATTACATCTTTATTGACATTATACTATATTTTTCGAGTGTCCTGAAAAAGAAGTTGCAGTGAAATTCCAGGCTGTCTCTAGCCTGCCACAGTAGCTGTTGTTTTCTGCCATGTACCAGGGCAAGTCAACAAACAACGTCAAGCTAACTGACAATAATAACAAACATGGGTTAAAGGGCTTAGAAAATTAAACAAACCCGAGTTACCTTCTGTCAAGAAATGACAAATAAGTTTAAAATCAGGGGTAGAATGACTGAATAAGAATGCAAAAAATTAACTCTCAAAAGATCATGCTATCATATGATTTTCAAAGTCAATTTTCTGGCCTATCCCAAAGAATACTGATCTCTGTGAGACACATTGCAATGTCAATGATGGAAAATGTTGTTTAATTTCCTAGTCTGGTTCTAGGTATTTATTAGTGGTACCGAAAAAAAGGGACTCTTTACGTGGCGTGTTTTATTTGGGGCTATTTCAAACTCTTCAAGTATGAAATAATGATGAAAATGTGCTCAAAAATGACAGATAATGTTACATGTAATATGCGACAGAAATTTGTGATCCAAAAGGTTTTTGGTTTTGCCACCCTGAAATCGCATTGGGCCACATCAAGTAATTTTTTTGGATCACGATTGCGTGCACATTGATTTTGGCCCGTTTCTAGAAGAAAAATTTTGAAAAGTTAAAAGAAATTCCACTTCCTGTAACTATGACCAGAGTCACGATAAGGGAAGATGTGATGAAAGGAAAGAAACAGGACGACAACTGCTGTTCCACTGATTTATTGCTGTTTTCATGATGAATAGAATACTTCTCTCATTCAATTTGTTGTCCATTAGTAAGTTTCAAATCTAGGCATCTTGATTTTCTCGCATTAGATTTAGGGTTTCTAGAGGACGTCATCCATAAAAATTACTTGGTGTGGCCTTGCATTCCTTCAAAATGTACAAGAAGTTGAAGAACCAAAGAAATGATTTGGCCTGGCTAAGATTGTACTACATTTGTGGTCAGCCACATGTAGGGATCGGGTCCTCTAGGGTTACAATTAGCCTGTGACATGTGGTGAGGGCATGTGGTCAATGTTAGGGCATTAGTTTCACACAAAGGAATGACAGTCCTAGAAAAGAAGTCAGGAAAAAGGAATATTCAGTCTTTGCAACATGCTAGAAAAAATTAAATTCCTCACATTGTCTTCAAAGTCATGTAGATTCATTTGTAGATTCTTTTTAAGACGATTTATTTCAGCGGCAATATATCAATATATACTACTTTGTGGTGCGGCATCTATGAGAAATAGATATATCAACAGCAATACTAAACAAAAATACATGTACAATATAGTACAGAAATATGAAACAGGAATGTCTGATCAAGGAGGTCCCTTATAACTCTATGGTCTGATTGACGAAATGTTTTAGTGAGCTTATTTACAGATCGCTCAGTTCAAGACAGACGAATGCCTACTATTACTACTACTACAGTTCAATTTAGGGCGTGAAAGTCAGTTCACAGATACCACAAGTATGGCTGTTTTCTTATCTATCTGGAACAATATCAAAGCAGGTTTTGACAGGAAAATTGTATTCCCACAAGAAGTTTGTATAGAAGCTGGATTGCATGCGCTGAGAGATTTGGAAGAGATTTGGCTGTTGATCTGTTAGGATTATGTCAGACTAGCCTGGCTGGGACCCTTAAAACCCATGGAGTTAACAAGTTTGGGTAAATAGCTTCAAGTTGTCTGGCTGGGGTACTAGTTTAAGTCTTGCAAAACTTGCAGTCAACAAGTTTGACTATCATCACAAGTTAGAAAAAGAAATTTCGGCTGAAAAAGACATTTCATCATAGACAGAAAACAAATCTTTTAATGTTTTCTGTGTTTTTTATCTTTAAAAAATTAATTTTTCCAACATTCTTCATGCAAATATTACACAAATTGGCAGATGTTAAATCAATGTATTTTTCCCTTCCTTGTATGTTTTTTTACAGAATACTCTGCATGTTAGGGAATTGCAAGAAAAATTTGGGACAAAGCGTCTTTCTTTCTTTGCAAACAGACAAACTGAGTGAATGGAAGAGTGCCAAAGTCTGTCAGCTGGCTTTCAAATCTTAGAGAAATCACTTAGGTAGACTCTATATGAGAACAGGCATTTCTCAAAGACATCATTGTTCCGCCAGGTGCAAGGTCTGTGCACCTTTGCTGTGCTTTGTTTCCTTGTACACACACACATGCGATTAGTTTCCTCTACTCTACTTTAGGCCAAACTAGTGCTGTGTATTGGTTCACTGGACTGGTTCCGGACTTGAAAAAATGTTTAGGTTCAAGTTTAAAAAAACCTAAAAGTCAAGAACCGATTGCGGACTTATTAGTATAATATTAGAAAAGAAAAACCATGTCATGTACCCATTTTCATTCCAAACCACCTAAAATGTTCCATAGATTGCAAAATCTGTGCTGCAAAATGAAGAAAACATTGCCATCGGGCATCGTCAAGTGTCTGCCTCCATGTAGCCACAGTTTTGCCCATACAATATTGCAAGGTTGCCAACGTGCAATTTTGTACATTCCAACTTGTGTCCTATAATATTTGTCGTCCCTAAAAATACTATTAAATAGTATGTTTCAAATCTAGACATTTTGTTCTTTTGGCCCTTCTTGTTTGTTTTTGTGCTTTTGCATTAGATTTAGGGTCTCCAGAGGACGTCATGCATAAAAATTACTTGGTGTGGCCTAATGGCTAAAAGTACATGCACCAGACTTTGTTGGTATATTCTTGGGTTTCAGTCACGTGACCCTACCTTAGCGACGGGTGTTATCCGCCATTTTGGTGTACCTACAACCCCGCGTAGCCTATGCGCTATGTACATGGTTCATTGTTTTGTATCTGGTTGCGGGTCAAAAAAAGTGGTAAACACAGTGTATCTTTTCAATGTGTGCCAAGGTGATTACAAATCAAGGAAAGGACCAAGAAAAACTGACCGAAAAACATCGCAGATTGTGGATTTTTGCGATCATCCGCGGGGATACGGCCACAGAAATATCCCGAGATTGTGGCGAGTTACTATAGCCAAAGACTCTGGGCAAGCTTCACCCGCCTGGGTCCGACACAATGTTGCCTGGGTCCCTACTAAAAAAACCTTGGAAGAAAGAAGTACAGAGATTGGGACGAAAGCAAAGAACAGAAGGAGGGGCGAGGGCCGAAAGGGCGAGAGAACGCAACAAGCGGGCCGCGAAACAGTCGGGTCTGGCGGCTTGACCGGGCGGGGCTTCTGACGCCAAAAGCCGCCCGACGCCACACTGCTGGATATCGCGTACGTGATCTTCCTACACCGAGGTCAGAAATGTCCCTGTACATGCAGAAATGGCACCCAGGAATTTCCATTAAACATCGACAAAACAATAGTTTACACGGTGCAAGTGAATTTATTTTGATACACGTGGCAGTCTGACTCAATTTGAGCCTTAGTGCTAAAACTCCGAGTTCACCCTGACAGCCCAAAATTACCGATCTTAGCACTAAAATTGCGTTAAGATTCTGCTTATCATGATACCCTAATATTGTAATGTCAATGTTCACAAGCTAATTCATGCATAAGTTGTGAGAGGTTACCCAAAAACTTTTTTTCACGGCAAAACTACAACTACGGGTACGTAAACAAAATTATGCCCGGAGGCTCCCCTCCCAACGCCGATGATTTACTCTCGCAAACTCGAGGCGGCCAACAAAATTTCTGTCGACAGGGATGACAAGCCGTCATGTGAAATTCTCATTCTAATGGGGTTCCAACAGAGACAAAGACTGCAGAATTATCGTGTGGCTGTTAATTACTTGTATGGCTTCGGTGCCAACGTCTTGACACTGCATAGCACTACACCGAGGTACACCAAAATGGCGGCCGCCTGTATTACGCAAGCCCCGTGACGTCACGTGAAAGCCGAGAATTCCTTCTAAGTCGTTGGTATGGCAGTAAAGCTATTGGCTTGTACAACTTGAGTGGTACGTTCTTTCACCACGGATTAGCTGGGAAACTTGAGACCGTATTAGAATAACAAGATTTAGAACCTTTTAGTGACAAAAGTTTGTCGTATTTCTTAATTGCTTGTTACAGAGATTGAAAAAAAACATGTACTACTAGACTAAGAGGCAATGAAGTAATATGTGTACAGTCAAAAACTTTTACTATGCCATATGGTTGTGAAAATGTAACGTAAATTTAGGATGATTTCTAAGGCTTCAGGTTTGAAGGTGAGACCAAGGTCATTGCACAGGTGTTTGTATTCAGACAGATTAACCTTGGTCTGCCCGAGGGGGGAGGTAAGGTGGGGGGGTTACATACTCAGATCCACAGGGGGCTATTTTTATTGGGCTGCAAATTGTAACATGTGCAACTGACTAGTCTAATCTTCAAGCAGATATTTGCCTTCGTCAGAAGGCTATGAAATAACTTTGCTATAGTGAGGCATAACTCTTGAAGGCATGGTT